TCAATGGAGACATTCCTTGTGCCTTTAAAATAGCTGAGTGAGTTAGATGAGGGAGATGTCAGTTGGAAATGCATACGGAAGGTACATGTGTCTTGCCCATGGGTCCCCAGAATGCTGAATGAGTGCTCTGTTCCTTTTACCTCTCCATGAAGCTCTTCCATCTAGCCACCCAGCAAGCCTTGTGCAACCTGGATAAGTGAGTGAATTCCAAGTCAGGGCCAAGAGTCTCCAGCTAATGGTGGCTCACTGAGTAGATCACATTGGGCAAGCTATTAACCTGAATGCAATCTCCATTCCTTCATCCTGAAAATAAAGACAAGAGATGCCAGCTGCCTCGAATGGTGATGTGAAGATTAATGAGACGCTGCAGGAGCAAGCCCCCAGCTCCTAGGATGAAAGGCCTCGTGGAGATGCAAAGTCTAATTATAATTTCTTAACAGTTTCAAAAGAGTCTCTGGGAGGGTGAACTCTTGCTTCTAAATTCGGAGAGAGAGGCTGCTTGAGATGGGAGCTTTTCTTTTGCCTGCCAGCTCTGCTCAGAGTTAGTAACACTTAGTCTTCATGCTGGTAAACAGAAGGTAGAATGCCCTGCAAGCTCTGTCTCTCTGATCTTCCCTGCTCGTTGGGAGGAGCAAAGGTATCCGCTTTCAACAGATATCAGATGAGCTTCTGTTCATCTTAGGCGATGCAGCTGCAGCCCCTGGTCTGAGCTAGGAATGTGTAACAGATCACGAGAATGTCAGAAGTCTGGAGACTTCCTCCTGAAAGAGGAAGATTCTCTCCCAGCCTTGTCCATAGCTTCCTGTCTTTGAAGCCCGGGATAAAACCTGTAGCTCGGAGCTGCTGTTGCCATTTTGTGACCCAGGGGGAAAGCCATAAGAATTGCAGCACTGGAGGGACAATTGGCTTTCTCATCTGTGGGAAAAAGCAATCTTTGCTGTTCTTACTCATTTCTGTTACTTTCAGGGTGTCCATGTCCACCTTGGTGTGGAGGTGTAGGCCACGTGGAAATCCCCCGTGGGGATTGTGTAATGTCGAATGTCACATGCAGAATCTTCGGCTTTGCGTGTCTTCTACCTGCTTGGACTTGTTGCCAGTCTCCCGGCCCTGACTGTGCAGATGCTCTGTCCTGAATGCAGGAATACAGTCAGCCTGGAACCCCCACTTCAGGACTTTGGAGGAGAGATTGGCTCTTTCTCAGCCAGGCCCTTCTCACCTCCATCCAGTGTCTCCTTCAGGGCCCTAACAGGTGCCAGCTTCCTGTGTCACTCTCACCAGTGACACTGTCACTCTTAAAAAAGATTGATCCATTTAGGCAAAGTGATGAGAGAGACAGGACATAGAACATAACTTTATCCTATTTGCTGGCATGTCCCTCAGGTGGCTACAATGGCTGGATCTAGACCAGGTCCAGGTCAGGAACCAGGATCTACCTGCGTCTCCCATTCGGACAGGGAGGGATAGCAGGGATTCAAATACTTAATCTATCATCTGTTGCTTCCGAGGCACACCAGCAAGGAGCTGGATCAGAAACAGAGAAGCCAGGTTTCGAACTAGTGCTCTAACATGAGACGTGGATGTCCAAAGTGGTTACTTGACACACTGTGGCACCGGTGGGCACTGGCATGCCGACACAGTGAGCCCCCCGGGGAAAAGTGTGCGTTTCCCTGTTTCTGTTCTCTTCTATCCTCCACTCACACGTATTTAAAAATTTCTATTGCCTTCTTACATTTATCAGGATACTGTTCTCAACACCCAGGGATTCAGGTGTTATGTCTGAAATAGATATAGCAATATTTTATCTGATCAGAAATATGAAGACCTCGTCATGCAACTTCTTATGCCACTTCCAGCTCCCCATTCTGTACTGCCTTCCTCCAGCGCTGCCCGCAACCTATTCTGCCTTTAACTGCTGCCACCTTGGGGCTCTGATCAATGCTGTACTAAATCTGTGCAAAGTTTGAGACTGTATTTCATGTTAAAGGTGACAAAGTAGTTCTCCACCTTTATGACTAGCACATTCACGAATCGGGAGGGGGGGAACCTGCGGCCCACAGACCACTTAGGACCCTTGAAATCACTGGGGCTGGGCCCTACCAAGGCAAGGGCAAGAAGGACTAAAACTCAGCAAGTTTATAGCAGGCCAATTTTTAAGTTGGTACCTTAGCTCACGGATGATGTTATAAATAATCCAAATGGCCCTTGGCAGAAAAATGTCCTCACCTGTATGAGCATCTTTAGCCTGACTCTCGGTTGTCTTTCTTTTCAGATTCTCAGTGCGTTGAGATGTCTAGTGTCTAGGATTTGGATATTGATGGTTGAGTGTTCAATAAGCTCCAAAGGCCCGTGGTGGCACCATGGGCATATGGGGAAGCATACAGCCCAGTAGGAAGTCCTTACATCACTGATAACATGGCCTTACACAGTAGTTTTTATGAGAATGCTACAGAAGCCTGTGCTGGGGCCCTAGCTCGGTTTCTGCTTGCTGAGTCATTATATGACCCCTTCTCCGCTGTGCTCTACCTTCTGCAGGATTTGTGCTTTGCCAAAGCCTGTATCTTGCCATTTGGACTTTCAGCCTCTAAGGCAGCAAGCTAAATAAACTCTTCTTTTCCTTTCTGGCCTCTTATCTCAGGCATTTCTCTGTAGTAATAAAAGATGATGAATGCAACCAGAGTTGGTTAACCCATCAACCTTTAGTGACAAGCTGCAAATGAACTGCTCACCTTAGGAAGCACTAGAACTTTAAGAATAGCTATTTATTTCTTGGCCAGATATAAGGAAGGGGGCTGCCTGCCTGAGACCTGCAAGATATCTTGAGTGCTTAAAGGAATGACAAAGTAGCTGAGCTAATTAAAACATCCCCTGAATGCCACAGATGAGAAGGCTGAAAGAGATGCTTCAAGGATCATTTGTTTGCCTGTAAGGGATATGATTGCAAATGACAGGGTTGGCTGGAGGATCTCCCAGGCATGGAGTGGTTTGGGAGAAGAACTGAAATTGGCTTTTTTTCCCCCCTCTGTGTACGAAATAGAAATCTGTGTTTTGGTTGCATTCCAACCTCAGAAACCTAGTCCTCATGAGACTGAACTGAGCTAGTTCTTAGGTAATGAGAATTCCTTCCTAGCCAAAAGGAGAAAATTGGCTTTACTTTGTGCTTGGAAGGAAAGTGAAGTGTGTATGAAAGCCAGTGGGCGCCTGCTCGGTGAGCTAACTTGTATGATGAGTAACAAATGGACACGCAGAAAGCATGCTGAAGGTAGGCTATGTTCATGCTTATTGATGACGCGGCACATGGACGTAGAGTTTCCTTCAATGAACAAAATGCCTTTATTTTTTAAAAAATACTTAATGATAAATTTTTATTTATTTGAAAGGCAGAGAGAGAGAGAGGTCTGTGTCCACTGACTTACTCCCTAAATGTCCACAGTAGCCAAGGCTGGACCAGGCCGAAGTCAAGAAGCAGGAACTCCATCCGAGATGCTTAGGTGGGTGTCAGGACCCAAGTGCACAAGTCGTATCTGTTGCCTTCCCAAGGTGCACATTAGTAGGAAGCTGGATCAGAAACAAGACTCTGTTCCAAGCACTCTAGTACAGGATGTAGATGTCCCAAGCAGTGGGGTAACCCACTGCAGCACAACACCCTCCCTAGGGTGGCTTCAGCTTTCCCTTTTATCTGTTAGATCTTAGGTTTCTGTCTTCAGTGATGGATGCTGTTCTTTCCTTCCAGCACCCTCCACCTGGCTCTGGTGACTGGCTCTTCGTTTGATTGCACTGCTGCACTTCTCCAAGGGAACAGCTAGGGAATAGTTGGCACCCACACGTGGATGAAGTGATTCAGCTTGACTACAAAAGTGACCCTGTCTATTGTTTAGTGATTGGCCATAAAGTGAACCAATACTCACAGTTGTAGTAACTCCATTGTTCAGAATTACTGTGAGACGAGAGGGGCCAAAAGATTAGGAGCGATGCCCAAGGCTAATTCGATAGTTCTTGAGTGTTTTAGAGGCCTTGCTGTGGGCCAGGTGCCATGGAGAAGGAGTTGGAGGAGAGATTAAAAGGGGAACAAGAAATTGCTCCTGTTCTCAATGGATTTCGTTTAGACAAAGAACTTTTCAGGCTTCAGGCTACTTGATTCAGCTCAAAAAAAAAGGTCTACAAAGCAGCCAGGTTTAAAAACAGCACTGTGTGGGACCGTGGTAGAAGGATGTATCACAAAAAATGCCAAAGGGGTGAGAAGTGGCACAAAAGATGCAGGTGAAAGAAAATTCTAGCTTAGTTTCCTAGGGTCGCTAAAATAAGGTGCCATTCATTCACGGCTTAACAGATAAGGAATCTATTCTCTCATGGATTTGAGGCCAGAAGTAAAATAATAATAATAATAATAATGACAACAACAACAACAATAATCAAGATGTCAGTAGCATTAATTCCTTACTGCAGAGTTCACAGGGATAATCTGCTTACACCGCTTTCTAGCCTCTTGATTATTGGACTTGGAGTCCCTTGGCTTACAGCTGTGTAACTCCAGTCTTTGTACACATTGTTGAAGGTCATCTTCACTCTATGCCTGTTTATTTTTTCTGTCTTCTCCAGGTCTTAGCAGGTTATGAGTAAAGAACCACTGCATTCCACTATGACCTCATTCCAACTAGTTTTGTCTGCAATGACCTTGTTTTCAGTAAGGTCACATTGTGAAGGTCTGAAAAGGACAAAGATTTGGGGAAGACATTATTCAGGCAAGTGTTCTACAAACACACTGGCGAATGCTGACAAGACCGATAGGACAGGAGGATGAGGAAAGGAAACCATGTATCCTTGAGAAGGAAGAGAAGGAATGTGCTATTTTCCTGTTGCTCTCCCCAAGTTAAATTCAGGCACGCCTCAGATTTGAAGCAGGATTATGATACAAGTGATGTGATCATTCATTTCAGAGGGAGAGGTGGGAACAGTTATACGAGGAACTAGATTCATTTGAACTTTGTTCCTTTTAGTGTTATTGACAGATATCTTGACTTGGGTTTTACTGCAACTCTGGAGAGACTGAAGTACAAGACAGTTAAAACTGGAGCAAAGAGGCAACTGAGGTAGCCTCAGGAAAACACATAACTAGAACTTTGGTATGTTTCATTTTTATGTCTCCAGAATAGTCCACTTGATATGAGAGGAGTCTGACATGAAACATAGATATATCTCCTGGGATAATAAAGCACATTTTGTTATCACACTTAAAAAAATGATTTATTTCCGCTGGAAAGGCAGATTTGCAGAGAGAAGGAGAAACAGAAAAAGATCTTCCATCCACTTCAATCTCTGAATAGCTGTAACAGCTGCAGCTGAGTCAATCTGAAGCCAGGAGCCAGGACCCTGGAACTGCTTCAGGGTCTCCCATGTGGGTACAGGGGCCCAAGGACTTGGGTCATACTCTCCTGCTTTCCCAGGCCACATGCAGGAAGCTGGATGGGAAGTGGAGCAGCTGGGATACAAATCAGCCTCTGTATAGGATCCTGGTGTTCAAAGCTGATGGATTAGCCTGTTGAGCCATAGTGCCAACCTCTGTTATCACACTCTCACTGCATCTCTAGGACACTACAAATGTTGAGTCCAGAGGGCGGAGGCCTCTAAAATCAAGGCACACAAAGGCTACACAGCCAGTTGAGTGGCTACTAAATTCTAGAAGGGTATGAACTCTGCAGTGGAGAGGGACCTCTAGGTGGAAAGGACCATAGAGCACGGTGCTGTGTTATGTGCCTAACTTTAAAAACCTGCAGTTAACCTTGAAGAGATGAAAGAAGGTGAACTGGTGAATAAACTCTGCTGTTGGTCTTGGTAGAAGAAAACCACAGCTAGGAAACATCATGTGATGCAAGTGTTCCAAGTGGTGACTTCAGATGCCAGCCCTGGATCGTGTATGCTTGGCAACCACCAGTGGTCATTACTCATTTCATACTAACATATCAGTTGGTTAGTTTCTCCTTTAGAGAAATTAATAAATGCTACTGCTGTATTTGTCAGGATACATTAAATTCTGTGGAAGGGATTAAATAGAAATCTCGGGACTTCATATGATAGATGTCTATCATGTCACAGCTCTCGTTCCTCTCTCAGGCCATGGGGTGCAGTGGGATCCCACTCGGTGGGGTCAGGCCGGGACCTGAGTAGCAGAGGCTGTGTCTCAGCATAGACTCACAGCTTCCTGAAGCAGTGGGGGAAAGAACCTTGCACTGTACACTGGCTGTGGAAGCTCATTCTCACCCCCGGGCCGGATGGAGTCATGTGGTCATGCCTAGGTGTAGAGGAGTGGGAAAGTGCAAACTGACTACATATACAGAAAGCAGACATTTTAATGTGAGTGGTTGCAATAGAAAACCATAGACTGGGTGACTTAAGCACCAGTTTACTTACAGTTAGGAGGCTGAAAAGTGTAAAATTGTGGTACAGGAAGATTCAGTTCTTGCGGAGCGTTTTCACATACAGCTTCGTTCCTGTGCCCTCACAAGGCCAAGAGACCCAGCTTTCTTTTCATCCCCTCCAGGGGACTCAGCCATCATGGCCTCGTTTAACACTTCCTGATATGACATTGAGGATTAGGGTTTGAACATAGAAATGTTAGAGGGACACATTGTGAAGTCTGTAACAAAGGAATGTCTGTGACAAACCTTGGTGACTGTCACAGTCAAAGGCAGCTTTCTCTGGTTGAGTTTCCATGTGTTGGCACCACCATTCTTTTCAGTCTGGGAGACGGAGAATTCTCCACAGGTTGAAACTTTGACCCAACAACTGAATGCAATACTAAGTCAACTCTTAGAATATGGTCAGGTCTACTATTGATGTTATTTGTAAGCAAGGACTTATAATCTATGACCATCCCTTGAATAGTCTTATGATTAGTATGAAATAATTTAGGCTCCCATATGTGTTAGTTATTACAGCGTATATAAAAATAATTCAACTACTTAAATTTGCTGTTACCCTAGCTTATCCGTGTAGGCCTTATTGGAAAACTTGACCATAGGCAGTGGAATAATCCAATGAATGTGTGAACCTCATGTAGATGGTGTTATTTCTCCTGTATTGGCATTTTTAAGACTGGTTTATTTTTGGCTAGCAGAAAACTTACAGACAGTTCTATGCTGTGAATTTCTTTTGTTTTTTTTTTTTCTTTCAGATGAAATGGGGGGTTCACTTTCTTTTCCCTTCCAGGAAAGTATTTTGTCAGAAAGGAAACAAATTGATGAAGATGATGCTAAAAGATGAATTCTTAGTACAGTCGAACTGAAACAAAAAGAGAAGAGCTCAGCAGCAGCTTCTGCCACAAGAAGCAGAAACCCTTGTTCTCTTTTCCTCCAAAAAGGTATGCTCTGGCTAAAAATAGCAGCAGGATTTCCACCTGTGCCGCACTGTTGTCTGCAACCAGAGGACAACCTTGAACAATGCGTAGTCCATCATCACGGCAGGAACCTGCTCTGTGGAGGTGCTCCATAGAGGTGTACTAAATAATTAGAACTAGGAGTGGGGGGCTGACCTTCCGAGTTGGATATATTATTGTTCACTTTGCCTGCTCGGTGTCACAGTGGGTGCTGTCACAGAGACGGTGACTAAAAACCCTGATTAGGATTTCTCTGCCAAGGTCCATCAATAATCTGTTTGCCAAATGTGCCTGGGATGTCCATGGCATATGCTTCGATGCATGTGGGAGTCTGGATATGGTGAGTTTAAAGAGCATTGTAGCTTTTTGTAGAGATGGGACACAATGTGAAATATGGCAGGGTACTACTCAGTGTCTTCTGGAAGCAGTGTCCTACTCTTTTGAGAGAAGTCAACCCTCGCTTGTGCAAGGTCCCGACAGCAATGTCTATCCAATGACAATGATTTTATTAAAAAAATGTTTACATGTTGTAGTGAAGTGATTATGTTAGGAAACAACATGAATTTGAAGCTTTGAAAACGTGGTCATTCATTACTGCTCATCAGGTGTCCTTACATGATTTTGTTGTCCCAGGTTAAGGTCAATTTTCAGTTTTCCAGGACTGAAGGAAAGATGGGATATCAGCAACCAATGATCAATAATTTCCAGAGATCATTTAAAATTATTATTTTTTGAGAGGCAGAGAGGAAGAGCTTGCAAACTTCTAGTTCATTTCCCAAATGCACGTAACAGCTGAGGCTGGGCTGGGGTCAAAGCCAGGAGCCAGGAACGCACCCCAGGTATCCCGTATGAATGACAGGGACCTAATAGCTTGATCTATCCCTGATGTCTTCTAGAGCCTGCATTAGCAGGCAGCTGGCGTTGGGAATTGAACCCAGGAACTCTGATATGGCACATGGTATCTTAAACACTAGGCTAAATTCTTGCTCCCATAAAGCATTCTCTGTGTTTCAATTCTCAGAGGAGCTGATAGTATGCATATCTAAGAGAATATCATGCATTGCCTTTGTTTGCCTGTCTGGATTCACATCTGTGTTTGCTTACATTTTGACATGGTAATGCCTGTGAAAGTGCCAACACTGGGCCTTTGCATATCATAGTTGGCAGGTTACTGCCCTATTCGCTCGCCTACACTCTGCAGCTCAGCAGCCGTAATTTCATCCCAGAGAATGCTGATGACGCCCTCTGTGCATCTTGGGTGTAATTAATATTCATGCTCAGATCATGCTTCTCATTTGCAAATCTCATCTTGTAGCAGCCGTCATGGAGTCCATCAGTCGAAGTCCCAGGAGGTCATTGGCAAATGGAAAAATTGGAGGTTGATGAGGCTAATCCTGGAGGCAAACACCAGGCTGGCCTGCTGGTGCCCCTAAGGAGACCAATGAAGAATAGCAATCAGGGTGAGTGAACGTCACTGCATACGGGCCTGGCAGGAACCTCAGAGCATCAGGTCAGGTGTCTGAGGCAGCCGGGGAATGTCACGCTGGAGAGACAGAAGGAAGCCACGTTGCCTGCTCTTGGAAGGTTAATCTTCCACTTTGCAGTGCAACCTTCACCGGCAGAGTCCTGGCAGGGGCATACATCAGCAAAGTCCTGGCAGGGGCATATATCGGCAGAGTCCTGGCAGGGGCATACACCAGCAGAGTCCTGGCAGGGGCATTTGCTGGCAGAGTCCTGGCAGGGGCATTCATCAGCAGAGTCCTGGCAGGGGCATTCACCGGCAGAATCCTGGTAGGGGCATTCATCGGCAGGAACTGTCTGCTCTGTGTTGTAGTAGACTGACCATAAGGTGCCTCTCAGAGCACCCTGGCCTTCTGCTTTCCTATCTGAGAGAAAACGGTCCTCAGTGCTGTCCGCAGCAGCCACAAGCCTCTCCCCATTGTCTGTGACTCTCTGCGAGGCCCACATCAGCGCAGTCACAAGAATGGAAGTGGTTCTTTTCAGCCATCTGGGGATGCATTCTTCCCTACCCTCGCCTGGGACAGTGAGAGAGCTGCTCACCGCCAACTCAGCGAGAGAGGACTGCTGGCTGGGATGTGCCACACGCCCCGTGGCAAATGCAGAGACCCCTGCCATGCATGCTTCTCCTGAGCCATGGCTGAGCTGAAACAAGCAAACGAAAGAAAATGACCAGGTTGCTTAATTAAAGACGAAAGTGTGTAGCATAGGTTTAGTCCCAGATACAAAGAGGCAAAAAGAGCTCACAATAATTGTTAAATGTTAAAATAGATTGAAAAAAAAAATACATTCCCTTAGATTTAGGTTTCTGTTACATGTTTATATCCCCCAGGGTGACCACAACTGACTACAACAAACTGGGTGACTTAAAACTGTATGTAGGTCAAGGTGTTGACGGGGTGAATTCCTTTTGGAAATCTGAGCAAGACTCCATCCCGTGCTTGTCGCCCAGCTGTGTTGTGTGGTTACCAAAGTCCTAGACGTTCTTTGGCTTACGCATGCATCCTCTACTGGCTGTGTCCTTTGTTACTGGGTGTTCTTGGCATCTCTGCCTCAGTGTAGAAGCCTCTTGATTTCTCTGTTTTTCTGTTTTGTTAAAATAAGGAAACTGATCATTGGGTTCAGGCTCACCCTAATCTGACATGACCTCATCTTACCTAAATTTAAGGTATCCCTGTAACCAAGACCATGTTTCCAATTAAATTCACCTTCACGCATGCTCAGGGTTAGGACAACATGCTTTGGGAGGAAGAGGGGGACACTATAAGAGTCAAAGACACTGCAATGAGAAAAATAAGAGCTTTTTGAATCAATGCTTTTCAAATATTTGATTATCCATATCCAAAGGTATATATCCAGCAATCTGCAAAAAATAAACTCAAAGGTCTAAATGCAAACAAAAAACAAAACTAACCAAAAAACCTAAAAGTACACAATTCGTAGAAGTAAATATGAAAGAAGTCTTTGTGATCCAAGATATGATTTCTTAGAAATAACACCAAAATCACAAACATAAGAACAAATTTATAAACTGGTTATCATAAATATATTTAAAAAAAACCTTTTGTCCTTTAGAAGATATCATGTGGAGAATTAACTGCATGTCTAAAACAGGGGTTCTATCCCCCAAATCTGAAGAAATCTCAGAATGCAGAAACTAGATGAGACCTGTGGGCACATCATCCTGAAAGGCATGAGGTGGCAGGGAAACATGACTGGATGTCCCTCATTGTTACTCGTACCACAGCATAATTAAAGCCAGGGTGTGATGCTGCAACACTTCTCTAACAAAGGCTGAAATTACAAATATTGGCCAAAGTATTGGTAAAATTGCAAGTGGAGATTGGTGCCATTGCCGCAAAGAATCCAAAGACAGCTTTGTTCTTCATTGGTAGGACATCAAGGGTTCAAGCCAGAATCAAGAACGATGCACTTTGAATCCCTTGTTGGGTAGGCCAGAGAACTTCCTAGGTGTTTTCAAGAAATATTTTTACTTCCGTGTATACTATGAGTAGGGTTTATGCTTAGAGTTTTATATATATACAGAGAGAGAGAGAGAAAGAATTTTTATTTATATATAATACAGAGTGTATGTATATATATATACACACACATACATATATAACTCATATGGGTAGTGCTTTTATATTGATAGAATAAGAATATATTCTCTTCTGTAGCAAGGAGAAGTGGAAGAGAGGAAGGAAGTGGTGAATGGAACCAAAGTGATTTAGGAGTTGTGGGAGGAGGCAGAGTGGAAAAAGGAACAGGCGATGTGGCATATCATATCTATTTTTTTAATCATTTGTTTTATTTGAAAGTGTTGGGATGGGGTGAGGGATAGATGGAAGGAGGGAGGGAGGGAGAGAGGGAAATATACATATTTCATCATATATGTTTATCATCCATCCTTCGATTCACTCACCAAATGGTCATATTGGCCAGAGTTGAGCCTGTCTGAAGCTGAGAGCCAGGAGCTTCTTCTGCTTCTAAGTGGGTGCAAGACCCAAGCTCTTTGGCCATCTTCTGCTGCTTTCCCACACCATTATCAGGGAGCTGGGTTGGAAGTAGAGCACCAGGACTCAAGCTGGCACTCATATGGGATGCAGGCATGGCAGATTAGCCTGATATGCCACCACACTGGCCTTCAGATGATATATTTTCAACAGTTGGAACCTGTTTTTGTTTTTGTTTTTTAACTGAAGTGGCTCCGATGCTCTTCCTAAGTCATGTTCCACTTCAATATGGGTAGGCTGTGATGACCACAGAGGTCACTGTTGGAACCTGTTACAATGCTGTCAGAAACCCCAACTAGCTACAGGAGTGACTTGTTGGCAGTCATTCCAGCTCAGGCCATAGCCACAAGCAGCATCGACCACCACACATCTAAGCCTTTGGATGACGTGGATCCCAATTCTTATGTCACTCATGGCGTTTGGGTCTTCCCAGCTGAGGCCCCAGGCATTGGGAAACAGAGCCAAGCTGTACCTTTTGATGTATCTTTTCCAAATTCCTGTCCTAGATGCCAGTATTCTAAAATAGCACCAAGTGTTTCTTTTTTCTTTAAAGTAATAGCAATTGAAATAGGTGATGGGAAATAAGGGGAAGAAAAAGAACTAATCAAAATTAGAAACTTCCTTAATAATTAGAAAATCTTCTGTATGTAGTTGTGCTGGTTAAGAGTGTATATACACAGAGAAGTGGTCTGTGACCTTCTGGAACAGGTGTAGAACCCTTGGCATCATGGGAACCAGCAAGATGACCAGAGTGCCAAAGGACTGGAGTGGAAGAAATTCCCTTACTATCATTCATCAAAGCATCCTTACAGAACCAAAGTATGTCCAAACAATCAAAGTAAAATGTGCTGGCCTCTTGCTCCAGAAAGCAAGATTTAAAAATCTTTGTGTTATAATCAGCTACATGATTTGAACTAGTTCTTCTTTTGCATAATATAAATTACAGAAGACATAAATAAATGTTGCTAGTAGATAAATTTGAAAGGAGGGCGCCTTGACTTAACTTTATCCATTGCTTATATCAGAACCTTGACCCTTAAAAATTTAGCAGCTTCTGTGTCAGCATTCTATAGGGCAAATCCCAGCTGCTGAACTTCCCATCCAGCTCTTTGCTGGATGTACCAGGCAAGCAGCAGATGACTCAAGTGCTTCGACCCCTCCACTTAAGTGGTAGACCCTGATGGAATTCCAAGCTTCTGACTTTGGCCTGGACCAGCCCTGGCTGTTGTGGTTATCTGGGGAGTAAACAGGTAAATGGCAGATCTCTCTTCTCTCTGTTACTCTTTCTTTCTCTCTAACTCTGCCTTTCAAATAAGTAGGTACATCTTTAAAAAAATAGGATTTTAAAATTCTATTATGAAGATGGCAAAGAGATTTGAGAATGAGAACTAATTGTGAAGTGGCTCTCTACATGTGGATTCAGCACTATTTGGATATTCAGAATTCTGATCTCAAGGCTTAGATCTGTATGACTAGCAGGCTAGTGATAACATTTAATCAATGTGCTTGCATGGATTTCTCACTTGCTCATACTATTTTTAGAATCTATGGAGTACTTCTTGCGTGGATTAGCCCACATTTGCCTTTGCTATTAGCCATATTGGGATATTCTTCATTTTGCAGTTGAAAGTCCATTGTAAATTTTTATCTTTGCTAGTGGTCTCATGCAGAAAACACTTTCAGACTGAGAAGACAGTTGATTTCCACAAATGCTTCTATTCCCTTCCAACGTATCAATTATAGACCAGTTAACTTGTTAACAAAGAAATGGCTGAATAATTTTAAAGCTCTCTTGCTCAACCCGATCCATTGTCTGTATAGTAGTGATGATATTTATTTGTCGTCTTCTCTTTTTTTGGAGAGACCATGGACAGGGTTTGTTGTTGTTGTTTTTAAGAATTGGTGGTACACTAGTTTTTTTTTTTTAAAGAATTTTTTTATAAACATAATTTAAAAAAAAAGAATTAGTGGTACACTATGGCAGTGGAACAGTGATTTTAATTCTCATTTAGAACATAGGGGTCTCTTTTAGCTTAGAAGAGGAGCTAAAACAAAACTCCTCTTCCTTATGCTTCTTGTATTGCTCTATTAAACGCCCTCCCAGGAAACAGAAGATCCAGGAAGTTCTGTTTAATCACTTCATGCCCAGGGTAATGGGGACCACATTTGCAGGATGTGGGAGCTTGATAACCCTCTGTGGACAGCATAACAGCTGTTCCCAGTTGTAATACATGCAAAGTGAAATAGTCATAAAATTACCCTCTGGGTCTATGGCAGAAAGGAAGGGTGTTAAGGAGGTTTATTTGCCCATGTTCAGATAGCTGTTATATTGTTAGCGACTAGTTTAGACTGAAGTTAGGGCTATTTCTTTGCTTTTAAAAAATATTTTTTAATTATATGCTACCCTCAAAGAATGCATGTGAGAC